CGTCCTTATAATGTCTTTCCATCAGTATAGTAAAATTACGGGTGTCTTTTATTTCACATTTGGCGAGTTCGAGTCCCGGCTCATACAGGCGATTATTTAAATATATTTTAATACTGTTCGAATTGATTTTAAAATCAAAATGAAGTCCTTTCAGCAATATTTTCTATCTACGTGATCTATTTAAGGTACTTTCCCTCCGTTTGGCACAGCCATGAGACGCCCTGTTTAAATGGTAATTTGATTAACATATTTGGACAGCTTATAAAAGAATTCATAGATATTGGTTTGCTGTTTTTCAGATTGTTTTTCACATAGCAGATTACGAAAACACTTCTTGCAATATATATTTTTTTCGAAAATAAACGTAATGTTGCAGTGCTGCATAAATTCTTCTTATCTATTTCGTTACACATGCAAAATTTTAGTCTAGAAAATAGCATAATAATGTTTCCTTTATGTTACTTGTGTAAATTTCCTGCATTAATAGTGCTTTGCCTTTATATTCCGAACACTGGCTGACACAATGCCGTGTCTAATTATTGTCGTAAATGCCGTGTACAAATGAAGTGACAGTGCCCTGAGACGTATCCTTATCTATTTCTATCGCCAAGCAGTAATGTGAGCATTACTGCGTTCCGGTTTTGTAGGGTGCTGGTAAAATTACAGGCACATCAGACCTGTCTACTTATGTGTCAAGGTAACGGGCGCTGTGGCTGAGTCCCAAAGAACTTTGCACCAGGCGCACGACTTGTTTGTCCCGCCATTTGGAATTAAAAAAGTATATTTGTACCAAAAAGTTTTATTTAATATTAAATATCTATGACTTTTATTCAATAAATATTGAATATATGTGCATCAACAGAGGATTTGTCCCTTACTTACTTACATTAAAAAAAAGAGCTCACATCTAAGCTAAACGGGATAAACTGAACAATAAATTCAGATTTATGCCTTGTATAGATAATAGGAACAAACTCATAGCTATCAGTTGAGAAATAATCAGTCCATAACAATATGCATAACACCAGTTACTTACCTGGTCCTAAACCAGAGATTAGGATAGAGAAGAGGAAACCCAACTAGCACATTAACCTTATAACGTTAGGGCTTTATGGCTAGAAATCTTGTAATTGTTTTATAAAAACATTAATTATTTCAATGTACTTTATAATAGTTCTTTATAATAGGTTTTAGCTTACACGGCTTTTATTCTTATAATTTGGCTGTTTAAACGTTATTAAACCCAAATAATATGACTATAATAGAGCCTCCGAATATGTTCTTCTTGTAAAAGTTAATGTAATTGCTTAATTGCCGCATAATAATTAGAGCAAAGTAAATGTTTTCGTAAAAGAAGTGGACAAGGTAAAAATAAGGCTATAAATCTTTTAAAGAACGTTTATATAGCAAATGAATACTTGTTAGCTATATAGTTTATATAAGAATTTAAAGAATTCATTACCACTAATACAGTAATTAGAAAAGTATTATTCTTAGGATTATTATTACTATAATTTACATAATAACTAAGTCAGCCAGTTCAAGTGCAACGCGTGGTCGGGTTATCTACGCCTTTTCTTATAAAGAAATGGATTTGCAAGAATGGAAGAGATTTAAAAGAAGTGGCGGTTTTATGTTTCCAAAAAATACGAGAGCTTGGCTGCAAACTCTACACCCCGCACTTCTTCTGTGACGTTATCCACCAACCACGACACAAACAAAGGAGTTGGTGGTTCCGTACAAAATTATTTAAGCGCGGTGTGTTAAGAAGTGAAAATTGATAGCGATAATGATATAGATGAGGTATTAATGAAGAGGTGAGAAAGTATGACTTTAGTGACAATATCAGGAATTGGGCTATAAAGTTCCACATTTAGCATTGAACGTAATATCAAAAGTAATAACCAACGCAATGCCACAGACCTTACCATTAGATGCGCGTACGTTGTTCAAAACCAACAAAGAAAAAATAAGCATTATTGAACTGGGGACCGGACATTACAGGCACAATGGATTAATTTCTCAATTACAGAAAACATAATATCAATTTGGTTTTACTTGATTATTATATTACACTATTAATAAGGAAACCAAAAGCCTAAATAATAATCAATATGGCGATAACATAGCAATAACTACTGCTTTAGTAATTACTACCTTTATAGTCGCCTTATAAACGTTGTATAATTTACTTTAACTACACGCATATCATAAACCTCTATGATGTGTTCAAAAACCGCAAATTACGACCAGCATAAAGATAAACTGTTTTGTTAGAACAAATTTTTTATCTGTGAAAATTTTCATTGCTTCCTATTAACATCGAATTCGATTTTACTATTACATTCCAATTTCGAACATCTCTGAAAAACAAAACAATTTGATTGGACCTCAATTCTAATATCAGTCGAGATGAAGTTTTATTCGAAATGAAATGTCAATAGCGAACAATTTTGACAACTTCACACGTTACTTCATATCGAACGATATGATAGTTGGGGCCGATTCTAATTTGCCTATAAATTAAAATTAAAAACTACAGTTGTGTGACACGCGTGAGAAAAGTTTTTATTTGCCGCCATTTCGCCAGTCGTAACATGCTGTTCCTAAACACATCACAGAGAGCTTATAATATGTGTGCTTACAATAATAACGCATAGAATGATAGTTTCATATCAAACGAACTGTCACAAGTGAAGCAAAAATCAAATTAATGTAGGCTAGTTTTAGTAGTAGATTAATTTTCGGTTTTAGTGAATATTTATATAAAAATACAAGTTGAAACGCGTTACTTCCTTGTAGAATGTGATGTTAGTATCTATTTTATGTTTGTCTGACGTATTTTTACTCATTTACCGCACATTTCGACATTATTAGCTACAATTCTTGAGCTGTTCGCGGTGCAAGTTGACCTTGAGCACTGAAGGCCCGCCCGCTCGTGTAGGCCCTTTGGGCGCGCTTCAATTTGCCTCACTTAGTGTGTGCGGACTAGGTTTCTATGCGTTATTATTCTAAGTATGTGTGTAAATAAAGCCGTGTATGTAACTGTACATATTTAGGCATTAAAACACTCGTGAGATGTTTTTATGATACTCGCCTGTCGGCTCGATTCATAAACCCTTACTCGTATATTAATGCCTTTCATTTTGTAACAGTTACATAAACTATTTATTCTATTTATTCTTGTAGCAGCAGTAATATTGCTGGCAAAACAACAAAATTATTAAACACTTTTTCGACACAAAACAGTTCCATATCAATGGCGCGTTGATAATACACCACAAACCGTACCTTACTTTCTCGTACTTTTAAATTCCCACGTAGTTTTCACTTGAAATAAGCACAAAAACAGTTATTCCACATAGACGTTTTAAAAAATGGTTTCCAGGAGATTTGTTTTATACGCACCACACAAGTAAATAATGTCTCTTTTTGTGGAATCGTTACACACCGACTAAAAGGATGAATGCCCTTATTAACGTTTGCCTTTATTAATGCTTATTTATTATTATATTATTTACATTACAAGAAAATTGCTCTCTTAAACGATGTCAAATATGACAACTATAAGTTTAGCATCCTTATAAATAGCTCAGGTGTTGCTATTATAAGGCTATTGCCCGTGTAAACACGTTTAATATGGCAAATATAAGTTGCGTGTACTTGTTGCCAGCAATTTTGAATAATTTGAAATTTGCGTGTTATAAACTAACATTATGACATTGTATAAGGGTTAAGCACATAGAATTTGTGCCCAAATACACGATAATAGTATGGTTTTTATAAGAACAGATTTTTAGGCTTTATAAACCAAGTTTAAGAGACTACGGTTCCATCCCTATATTATGAATATTCCAAGAAAGCACGAAGCGTTACGCTTCCACATTTATATGGCGAACGGCTATGGAGTGGAATTCTCTGCCTGCAGAATTGTTCCCTGAACGCTATAACTTGAGCTTTTTCAAGGCGAGAATGAATCGGATTATTTAGATGTGCATGCTACATTGTCGACCTCATCGTCAATTACCATCAGGTGAGATGAAGGTCAAATGGATGGAAGTCACTTATTCAAATGGGCACGATCAGGTAAATAATGACTGAAGAAGAGAAAACCACATTAAAACAATAGTACCGTTATTTTATGGCTCTAGGATGAAGTCCAAATAAGGTCAAAATGATAAAAGTAAGTAGTTAGAAATGATACTGAACCCTGAAGTATTAATTAGAGATGTCAAGAATAGTGATTTAGCCGAATACCGAATATTCGGCCCCGTTCTCGGCCGAAGCGCCGATTATTCGGCTACCGAATGTTCGGCTAAAGATCTTTGCATTTCACGCGTGACTTGTTACGACGGGATGGGGTGCTTCTATTGAAAAATAATAAAACGATAGAATCAATTTATGACAGTTTCTGGACCTGTTTTGAAGGCGACTTCTTCAGATAATGTGCAAAATGAGGATGTGGAGAAAAGTTCTAATGCACGTGAAATTGATTTTATTGAAAACTGTTCGCCTAAATCAGAGCGCAGAGCCTTACAAGTGGTGGTCAGCAAACGCAAAGCAGTACCCAAGCCTATCAAAATTTGCTAAGATTTATCTATCGTCTCCTGGCAGTAGTGTTTATAGTGACAGGTTTTTTTTCACAAGCAGGAATTGTTTATGAGGAAAAGCGCAATCGTTTGTTACTAACCAGTGCTGGGAAAAAAAATTTTTTTTTTCATTATTTGATATTCCTGTACTACGACTGTTCGGCCGAATACCGAATATTCAAAAAAGTGGTCGAATAGACCGAATACCGAATAATCGTGGCATCTCTAGTATTCGTGGCATATCCCTATCATATTTTTCAATTCAACACACCAAGATGGCTATTGGTAGAGCAATAAAATTACAATACTATAAATGGCTATTGTCCTAGCGTGTCATGTAGTCACTGGTACGGCACAAGGCGAGCACAGCGGTCCTTTTTAAAAGAACCTTCTGGTGTTCAAAAAAGGGTCCGTTAGCAAAAAAAAATGATTTCTGTATATCTAGTAGTTTTTTTGACCGTTTATCAAACGAGTGCATTCAACGCTAATAATGTGATTCGAAACACCGAACTTGAGTTCGCCTTCTTGGTGAGTTGGTTTATGGTTTCAAAAATACACTTTTTTATTATTTATTTTTCTTTTTATAACATTTTCAAGAGAGAAGTTTCAAGGAAAGAGAGCTTAATAAGAGAGTTATAAATTTCACATATCGCACAGCTAATTATATTAGCATTATAAGAGTCTTGTAACTCAAAATATGTGAAATTCAATATTACACTACTGTTTGAGAAAAATGCTGTATAAGACTCGGCGGGAACGGGGATTTTTTTTTTATAATATCAAGTGACGGGACGAACAAGTCGTGCGCCTGATAGTAAGCGACACGCCTGTCCATAACAGTTGCAATGCCACTCAGAGCTTTAAATTACAAAACTCTGAGGGTCACTACCACTACGCCCGTCACCCTGAGACATAAGTTGACAAGTCCCATGTGCCTGTGATTTCGCCAGCACCCTTACCCTTCAAAACCGAAACACAGTAATGCTGACATTACTGCTTGGTGGCAGAAATAACTCTTCCACAAGGAGCTCTACTGCTACTAGACTAAACTTACTTTAAAACTAATTCAATTCTATATCTATAAGTAATCCATGACAATGTGTCAACTTGGGTTCACCTTCACATGCAGTTGTTTTGTAGTTTCAAGGTTATCGTCTACCAACTTATGCGTACAAAGGCTGGGAATTGGTCTCCTCTCAGGCGAGGGTTTTGCCGGAACGCTGGCTCAATGTGGGTTAGGAACTTCCTGTTTCTTCTTGTTCATGTTTTTTTTTTCACTGTAAGGCTCATGGTACGAAAACTTAGAGGAACAAACCCGGAAAACTCAAGGCCTCTCTGTAAGACGCGGTCGGTCAAACCATTGGGCTACCACGACTTTTAAGTAAAGTTTAAGACGTCAAAAATATATTACACACACACACACTAAACTTTATTGTACAATACACTGAACTACAAATTGAGGACTTAATGCCATAAGGCGTTCTCTACCATTGAGCCAAACAGAAAATAGAAAACAATAGGTTGGTGCTACACTAAAACAAGAAGAACAATATACTATAGGCTAATAATAATAACGCACACACTCAACATAGCCCCGTACTACGGAAAACAGGTTTCCGTGTGTTGCGGGTGCCCTGAACTTACACATAGACAACAAACTCACGAGAGAAATAAAGTAGGCCATACAAATATTTCTCCCTGACCGAACCTGGGATCTCTCCGTGGCAGTCGTTCGAATGTTAACCGTTCGACCACAGAGGCAGTTGTACACATAATAGATAATTTATATGGTATGTAATAAATAACAGATTTATTAAACATACGTAAATAAACCTTCATATATATTATAATAAAGTGTCCATAGCAACATTATACAGAGTCTTAATTTTGCCAATTGTCAAACAGATGTTTGCTCAACATGCTTGTCTTACGTGGAGCGGGAGCGCGTTTCAAAGACGAATTGCATGAAGAGTAAAAGAATTAGATAAACGATCAATACGGTGAGAAGGAATAAACAGCTTAAGGCTACAGGAAGATCGAAATTCGTATCATAGCCGAGCGGTTTGAAATTGTAATTAACATCTAAGATAAATAATCAGGTGCAGCAGGGTCGACCAAAATGCTGGTTAAAATTCTTAAAGACCTAAATTCACGGACGTGAATTTAGTTGAGGAAGACAAGCAGAGATGTGGTCATACTTTGAAAAATGAACTTAACCGCTCACGCGATACATGCAGCCGTAGACGCGTACCACATCTAGAGGTGCCGGTGATGATTTTATACCGATTTATCGGATATCGAAGTTATAACAGGTAAAAGAACTAATATTAATTGCTATTTCGGTAACTACTCTAGCAAACCATAAAGTTTTTAATGTCTGGGTCTGTCATTTAAAAAAAATAAACAACTTCTAAAATACGTCACGACAATCATGTGTGTTATTGTTTGGGCTGGTGATATCGGTGTTTATTTATTGAAAACATACCGTAAGTAGCGTTTTTTAAGTTTACCCTGAATATAAATGTTTATAAACTATACTTTAAGGAGTAATTTCATGGTAAACGTTAGAACCACTCAAACGGAATTTTATCATATTTATCCAAGTACACCAAAAATTTCATTAGTGCTTTTTAAGTGCAGGATTTGCGGTGTATTACTGCATTTTATTTGAGATGTTTTTGTTGGTAGTACGGAGGGTATTTATTTAGCAATGCAGAATAATAATTGTTATTTATAAAAACTTGTTTTTAAACTGAATGCTTTTCTAATTTGCGAAACCAAATACCCGCCATTTTGCGGTAGGAGGAGCGCATCGCGTGAGCGGCTAATGCAGTTTTTTGAGAAGACGGTCTAATGTTGAATACACAAGAGACTTGAGAGATGTCACTACAACACTAGAGCCTAAACAAGGAGATAAGTTCTCAAAACTGTATAAAGCTGTTACTGCATCGGTATCTATATAATCATGTAATTACATGTACATATCGAATGATCATAATTCGAAAAATCATTTTAATAAATTATTCAATCATTCCGCTTGAATGTTTCATGTCTTTGTTTTTGAAGGTATTATTGAATCATTTGCTGCGGAATGCGTTCTTAAACTAAGCAATGTAGATACAATAGTTAACAAAAAGAGTACGTTGTGTAATACTTTATTGTTATCAGACACGTGTGTCACGTTGTGATAATGATGCATTTTACAGGTGTAAAATCGTATTGGTGTTTGTTTAATGAAGTTTCAACTTCTTTTGTAATTATTTATTATATATAACCATTATGATATTAATTACAATCTATTTAGTAGCAGTAGAGCTCCTTGTGAAAGAGTTCGTCCAGGGAAGTATTGCCATGTTACCTATTTCTGCCGCAAAGCAGTAATGTCAGCGTAACTGTGTTTCGATTTTGAAGGGTAAAGGTGGTGGTGAATTTACAGGCACATGGGGACTTGTCAATTTATGACTCACGGTGACAAGCGCAGTGACAGTGCCCCTCAGAAATTTGCGATTTAAAGCTCGGGAGTGGCATTGCAACTGTTACGGACAGGCGTGTAGCTTACCATCAGACGCCCGACTTGTTCGCGACAATTTCTTAACTTACGTTCAGCAACGTTACGTACAGTCGCCTAGAATGAAATTAGACAAAATTAGAAAAAATTAAATTCGATTTATTCGAAGGATGATATTTCATGTTGATAAATATTCATGAGGTAACAACAATACAAATCGACAAACAGTTATGTAAATAATTTGGTTGTAAATTCGCTGCATATATCCATTTTAAAATAGGCGACTCCACCGCCAATTTAAACATATCCTTTAAGTAGAAGCCGTGGTTGTTCGTCCCATCTTTTGATATTATAAAAAAATATTTCATTTTATTTATTTATCTATTTATTTCCAAAACTTAATCTATTACTATATATCAAACTTTTACACAAGCAGCCTGTGGGTGAAGTATACGCAGAGAACCCTGAATACATTAAGGGTGCAATATAACAACGCTTTTAGAATGCTGATGGGGCTGCCGCGACACTGTAGTGCATCCGGTATGTTCACGGAGGCGCACACAGATGGCTTTCATGCCATTATGCACAAGAAGGCTGCCTCACTTATGATGCGTGTACGCGGCAGCGCTAATAGCATCCTAACCGTTGTTGTCAATAGGCTGGACTACAGGTTATCCACCCAACACAATATACCAGCAAAATTATAACATATAACGTATATAAAGCCCTTTGTGAATTCATTCAGAGAACAATGGAACCTGTTCGATTCGGTGGACGGCGACCTCGCCGTCGTACCTATCAGGAACAAGCCTAGCAAGAACAAGCATCGGATTGCATAGCATACCTCTGATTATCTTCTTTCATTTATAAAGGGATATCTCTTGTCAACCTCTGGCACCTGTAAAGGTACATAGGTTAAGTGTAGAGAAACTTTCATATAACATGTAACAAATGAATAGCAAAATTCGTAAGGCCGCTAACAGACTGACTGTACATTTACATTTAATGCGTGAAGTCGACTTCATGCAGCCGAGACCTCGAGTGCATGAAGTCGGTTTCGACTACCCGCAGTTAATGCGTGTAGTGATTATCCGAGACCTCTACTACATGAAGTCGGTTTCAACTACTTACATGCAGTTAACGCGTTAAGTCGTTGCCAACTTCATGCAGTCATGATCTCGGCTTTATTACGACTTCACGCATTAACTGCAAACACACAGTCAATCTGTTAGCAGCCCAAGGTCTGACTAGATTTGTTGCTCAGTTAGTGTGGCATTGTCTAAGGTTTGAGTCTTGTGAGATCAAAGGGATTTTTATTTGTGTTCGATCTTTGGATTAATAATTATTACAAGTTTTTGTTTTGTCGCAGACTCATCGCCATGGAGACAGGACGCCGGTGCCGTCAGGCCTGCCAGTGGCAATGTCCGAAAAAATGCTGGACCTTATTACACCGTGGGGTTATGGACAACTCACTGATGTAAGTTAATCGTAATAAGAATTTCTGGCCATATTTCAGCTGTTGCTTATTTTTATGGTACAATGCACTTAAAAATGGCGTAGCATCGATTTCTGCTTTAGAATATTCTTTATATTACATAAACTATGTTTTGTTTTCGATATCAGTGGCTAACATGTCAAATGTTGACTTTTGTTTTTACTCAAGCAAAATAGGGACAAATAACGTATTACACAATAAACATATAAACAAAAGCTTATCAGTTTTTGTTCGCCATTGTTCAAAAACTTATTAGAAGAGATACAAAGACAGGATAGATATTAGTATTAGTATAATGTTATCTATAATTGCTATTGTTCTTGCTATTTGACCATGTACACGTACAAAGATAGATTTTAGAAATGAAAAAATAACGGGTCGAAGCTTTTGCGCCACCTGCAAGCTTTATACATTTTCATATTAGTTTTTTAACATTAAAGGACAAAAACTGTTTTATATTTTTATATACGAAAATACATGGTATAAGTACATTCAAGTACTGAATACATCATCTAATCCTATTTTTTTTTTATTTAACCGTTCTCTTTAACAACATATTTATGTCTCTACACAATCATAACAAAACATGCACCACAGTAAGATAGACAAAAGACTGGTACCTGTACTAAGCAGAAGCTTACATAAAACTATAAAAGTCCAGTGTATATTGTAATATTTTTTTATTCACTTTCACTCGACACGTTTGAATCGGAATCGGCAACATTAAATTATTAAACTATACGATACGTTTTCGATAAAATGGTCTAGTTGCATCATTTTGTTCTCTACTTTTATCATGTGCTGAACACAATCACTTCTCAATCAATCATCTCTGTGGTGTCACCAATTGGAAACCTTCTTCGAACAATAATAATAATAATGTATTTATTTCTCTCCACAAACATAACAACTGAACATGAACAAAAGAAAGATAGACAAAAGTAGTGTTTATATTATGTTTGCAAAAGACTGGTACCTAAACTAAGCATAAGCTTGTAATATAGGATACCAGGATAATTCACAATGATTCACTTCTGTCATTTTGAAGGTCTTATTGTTCCTGGCAACGTGCTCCTTTACGTGGGCCCAAATCAATTAGATGGGACTTAATTCACAGTGGTAATGGGGCAGTCGCAGGATGGTGACATCGTGTTCAGCAGCCAACTTGTCCACGGCAAATTGTTGATAATTAGGTTTTTCTTTATTGACTATTTCTAATAGTTCTTTTTGATCATGCTGTCTTCAAATGTAATATTCTTTGATTTCATCCATTCTTGAATATTGACTTTCTGCCAGGCAGAAGTAGGGCTCTGTTCTAGCTTTCGAGAGTAATAGGGGGCACTATCTGAAATAAGACCGAGTTAGCTTTCAATCTCGGTAAAATGCCCCATAACCACTCCTCGAAATGCTCGGAATTCATTTCGTCATGGTAATCTTCGGTTTTCCTTTTTTATTCTAAAATTAGCAAACCGCCGTCTACAAAACCCTCTTTTTTAGTCCTGTAGTGAGCCCTTCGAGGAAGGCTTCTTTTGACGATTTGATCTTCGTATCAACCCATGTCTTCTTAACCGCGTGATCTGCAAATAATGCAATGGTCAATTACTTGATTATTACATATGAAACATTAAAGAACAAAATAGCGATCAAAAGTTTCTTTTTATTCCATATCATAAATATTATTGATTAAACCGAAAATTACCTTCGTTACTCCAAGTTTCGTCTTGATAATATATAAATCTCCCTTCATCGTGATATTGCTTGATCGTCATTAACTATCGTTTTCGCCACAATACGCTATCTTGCCGGTCAATCAAACTACTGTGGCGCTTGAGGGTAGCATACTTGAAATTCAAATATTTCAGCACGTTTCTCGTGGTATAGGATGAAAAATCAGGCAGATCAGAATCGTCGTTTGCAGCTTGAACTATCTAAAAATAGACACAAACATTAAAAAACTTAATACTGAATAGACTGAGATAAAATAATCTTGAATTTAGCAGCTATCCTTTTTTAAATCGTTTAACATATGTCAACCTTAGAATAATAACGCATAGAAACCTAGTCCGCACACGCTAAGTGAGGCAAATTGAAGCGCGCCAAAAGGGCCTACACGAGCGGGCGGGCCTTCAGTGCTCAAGGTCAATTTGCACCGCGAATAGATCAAGAATTTTAGCTAAAAATGACGAAATGTGCGTTAAATGAGTGTAAAAATACGTCAGACAAACATAAAATAGATACTAACATCACATTCCACAAGGAAGTAAAGCGTTTGAACTTGTATTTTTATGTAAATATTCACTAAAACCGAAAATTAACCTACTACTAAAACTAGCCTACATGAATTAGATTTTTGCCTCACTTGTGACAGTTCGTTTGATGTGAAACTATCATTCTATGCGTTATTATTCTAAGATTAGCACAGATTCCTTATAGTAATGATAAACACTAGTAAATTTAACTCTCATCGAATCTTTACAACTTTATTTAATTACTTTGAATTACTATTCAGATATTTTTTTATTGAGAAAAACAGAAAGCTTTAAACATTCACGTACAATGTACTGACCTTTTCAATTGTCGGACTCTCGTTTCTATAAAAAAAAATTCGTGTACTTTTCTTCTAATGGCAGAAAAGATGAACTTTTCAGGTTTGTTAAGTACTTATATCATTCTTCGGGCCACTTTTTCCGGGTGATTTAAATTCTTCTCCAGCTTGATTTTCCATCACTTTTCTTTCAACGGTTCTTTTAGATAGACCCAGAATCTCAGCTGTTTTGTTGGCACAGTTTCACAAAGACCACTATTAATTTTGTTGCCAAGTATGAAATGTATGCTTGTAGTCATTCATAACCCATAACATTTTTGTTACGGATATTGCAAGGCGTGGTCTTTTTTTCTGCGGTGAATGAGTGTCTTTTTTGTTGACGGACCTGGTTCAGTCTCTATAATAGTTATGTTCACACGAACGCAAGCAAGCACAAACGTAACAACGGAGTAAAACCAAAACTTTACAAAAAAATAACAGAAAACGAAAACTCAACAATAAAAACAAAAACTCAACAACACGACGCATACACAGCAAGGAATACATTCGATAACGACAGCCGTCAGAAACCGAATGAAGAAAATCGCGGTGAAGCACTGGTGGGGATGCAACCCGACGACCTGACCCGTTATCCATCTCTATCGATCAAAAACTGACTTTTCATTTTTCAGTTTATTATAGTTAACACTATATAATAATAATAATAATAATAATAATTCTTTATTGACAGGTAAATACCCATGTTACAATTTACAAATATTTCTGAAATAAAGTGAATACAAGTCATCAAAAATATAAATAAATAAAGAAGCTACAATAAAATTACAAATTGAAAGATAACACTGTCATTTTTTATTCCCGTCGCGATGCACGGAAATCCAATATTTAAAAAAGGAATTGTGCATGTGCTCACAGAGAGTACGGAGAATCCCGTTGTCGGACGCACGGAGGCGGCTCCAAAAACAGGCGATGCGAGACCTTATTATGGCAAAAAAGTCAGGAACCCTGGCCTCGGCAAACATGCTCGATACGCTGCAACTTCTCGGCAGTTTCATTAGTATGCGATATGCATCATTATACTGCACTCTAATGGTACTCATAGATCTTTTTGTGAACCTTCTCCAGAGTTGACATGTATAAAAACATAAACAATATGCTCTAAACAATGTCACCCTGACATCACTACTACATCGCGCGAATCTGCGCGCGAGCATATTGCACCGTAATAAATATAATAATTATCCAATTTATTATTTTAATTTTATGATTCTCAATAAAAAAAAACATTTCATTCAATAAATTATTAAAGTAGTAGTGTTTTATAGCAATTAATTATTCACACTTCTACTTATAGGTATTTGTGTTTATACATAACAAATAAACAAAATCGAATAAACTCTAAGAACAGCCCAAGGTTGTTCATCCCTGAAACATTGCCAATGGAATAAAAAATCTTTCCACGAGAAACAGTTTTTTGAGATTATCTTATAAATATGGTGTTTTAAACAAAAAAATATGATTTGATAGTGTTTTGTTTGTACATGCACACAATTTAAAAACAATATAAAACATAGGAAGTGAAACTACTTTTCTGGATTTAAATCGCGTATATTTGTTTTTTCAAACAAACCAACGTTTTTGGCTCTTTTCAGGTCCCATAGTCACGGTTGACTGAGGTGGTACAGTCATCAACCAGTTATTTCCAATATTAATGCAAACCACCCTCTTTTTTCAGTATAGTTACAAAAGTTATTAATTAAATACCTTATTTTTAATTTTACAAAGAAACATTCCAATTTACGCTACATTGTTTTATTACATTACAAATTATTTTGTTGTAACAATACGAATTTTTATTAAATATTATTTTTTTATTAGGACTGTCACTTTTCATACAATTTCTAGAAGCACTGCAACCGCGCTGCAGCAGCGCCGCTGCAGTGCGGTCTGACAGCTGCTAATTTGAACGCGCCCTTAGAGTATACGTTCCCGAAACTTTTTGACTTACCAAGCGCTTAGGCAAGTAAATAGGATGCGAAACAACTTTGCTGTCTAGCGAAACACTCAACTTTTCACCTCAATATAGCGAGGAAAATGGTAGAAGAAAAAGAAAAAAGAACTATAACAAATCAGTTTTAATAAACAAAATTATTTATCGTTGTCAATTTAATGTCAACAATAATGAGAATAAAGTATACCAACGGAGTGTGTTTTGTTTTGAATATTAAACGTGTCATTATGTTTTTTTTTCATCGAAATAAAAAGTTAGGTGCACCACAGGCCATCGTCAAGTTCGGATTTCAAAAAGCTTTTGTGCATAGATTTCTAATGAGAAGGAAAGCCTTTCCGAGCTAGTGAGGTGAAAAAGTTATATTTAATTAATTGTTTAGAAAGCAGATTAATATACAATACCACGCTTAATATAAAACATTACAATCATACACTAGGAAGTTTTCCGTCGACTTTTTTATTTCCAAACAATATATAATGCCACCTAGTAAAAATGAGCCAAATCATAACAAATTCCAAATTTAAAAGGTAGAATGCATACCTGATTACATTCAGTTGCTTTTCTTCCACGTTCTTTATATTAATATAGAACGTTTTATAATGCTTTAAAAAGTAACATTACCCGTGTTCGGGCTATAATCAAAACACCTTTATTAAAACAGGATAAGCTGTAAAGACGGTTTCACACGGTCCGTGATTTTACCGGTCACATTACACGAGAGATAATGCTTGTAACTCGGACGCATCATTCCTCGAATCGCGAAAAAATATAAACTTTTAAAATAACTACTGGTAATGCCATAAATCACCAATCAATAATCGCGCGTAAAGATTTTTATTTATTAGGTAATAAGTTAAAACAACAGGTAAGGTACAATAAATTATGAACAAAATTAGGTCCCCGCGCCAAGGTGCTAGCAGCGTTCCCCTTACTACGTATTTTCTTAGGCGGTTAACACACTGCACGACGGAGCGCGGATCTGCGTTTTTTAACGTTGTACTGAAGTACCTCAGTTTGTACGGAAAACGCGCCGTCGAACACACTGACAACGCTTCTCCACGCGGCGCACGCGGTTCTACTGCGCTCCCGCGTCGAGTGGCGCGGCGAACCGCAAGGTATGGCACACTAAGTTCCGCACTACCGCGCAGATTTTTAATCAATTTGTGTCTATTCCAGTAATTGTCGTTCGGATTTTCCCTAACACATAGTCAAAAGATTTAGTTGACATAGGTACGTGTGTAGTTGAAAAATTAATCTTCACATTTTCTTAAGTTTGTAATGAAGTTGAATGTTATCTTTGGTATCTTCTTATTTGAGTAAACAGAAACTAAATAGACAAGCTCCATATCTTTCTACGTTAGTTTTGATTATCCCTACCTACCCTGAGGGCGGCATACGAGAAAAGCATTATAAGATGTGCGCGCACAGGAATCTGTGGACAGGGTTGTCACAGACCTCTGTCACTATTCATATATAGAATAGTCACTACTCTCCCTATTTTCAGATAGGTATCGGAGCTGTAGGCACGCTCACTTGCCGTTGCGCATTGCACAACCAGCGATTGCCACCACTAAGCTGTCAACTCTGAGTCCACTACCAAATCTCTTCATTGGTCAAACGACGTCTCCCCATTTCCTAATAACCTAAGCGGCTGGAGGGACCGGAGGATATCTAACTTATCCTCTACTAGCTCCCCGGGCTAGTGCTAGTAGTGCCGGAGAGGCCAGTCGCAGTGTCCTGCGACAATGTCGGGACATCGTTTCCTACTTAAAGGGCAACTCACGTGCTCCGCGCGTCTCCTCACTTCAGACCCTCAATTAAACCGCCACTAAGATGCACTAGCTGCTCACGAGACAGACGCCCCGGAAACATTCAAAACCGAGGCAGAAACACATGTCCGTGTCTGCAGCTAACCACAAACCCCAGCGAGTTCATACCCAAGTCCGGGTCCGCCAGAGACGCCTGCGAAGGCGTATCACTGGCGGAGGGCTTGGCCCTGACACCCGCTGTACTCTCCGGAAAACCCTATCTCTCGGGTCGGTAGATAGGGACAAACCAAATAAACAGTATAAACTGCTGCGTCCCGAACGAGTTCTGTATTATTAACCATTCTTGTCAAATAAGGATCTCAGTTACATGTACAGTCACTACGGCGATCAACTACGAAGCGAATACTTTAAGTGGCGCTGGGCCGCTTTGACGCAGATCTGCGTCTCCGCCACCGCGCGCGTGACTCGGCGTCTCGCGCACCGTCGCGGTGCGTGGTGCACTGTGTTAATCGCCTTAGCTTAGCTTTGCATGCAACTACGTGAACTAAGCTAGCAACCAACTATGCCAGTTAAGCTAAATTTAACTAATTTAGAACATAGTATAGTATTGGTTGCATGCGACCAAGTTAAACTAAGTTAGCTAGCTTCGTTCGCGGTGTGGCCTGCCCTTAACAGTCGCGAAAATCTAAGAACTCGATAGGTTTATTTTATTGTTTATTTTTTTACAGGCTGGCAAAAGAACTGGCTACAAGACGGGTGAATTTATTCGTCGAAGATACGGCGAGTTGCTTTCTCCAAAATATAACAACTCCGAAATCTACATCCGATCTACAGACTCTAAGAGAACACAAATGACAGTATTGACTGCCATGGCCGCGGTCTACCCAGCTACTGTTAACAATTGGAGTGAAAACATTAACTGGGACCCTGTACCTTACACTACAGTACCCGCTAAGTACGATTTTGTAAGTATAGTTTTACATATTTTTAAACTTTCATTTTATTTCGATTCGATTTGACTGTACTTTTTTGTGTGCGCATGTTTCGCCATTACTCTGTCATATTTTGTTGACGGAGTTGGAGGATTCTTTTTTTGTTGGAAAGGGGGCACTTCAATAGTTGTCCTATTCAAAGAAGGATAGCGACCCGTGTATTTTGTGACTCAGTATGTTTGACGACGACGTGTGATTCATTATCAAAGCATCAAAAAAGCTAATTGAGCCTGTAGCCTATAGAAACTGGGGTTATAAAGTTGATATAGGTTATGTTTATAACATTGTTCAGTATTTCGCTTCAGATGTTTGTTCGTAGTAGCGGAAAACAACAAGTTTTCAGTTTGTTCCTAAAAATAATAAAGAACTTGCTGAATATTCCTAATCTGCCAAACTCTGCCATATTTAATACAATGTCAACATGTTCTGCCGCAATGAAAATGTTTAAACATTAAATCTGCTCAAATGGCAGAAATCTGCCACAAATGGTCACATTTTTCTCAATCTCAAAGTGACATTGATATTGGCGAGTAGTCTCTCGTCAAAACGTTCCTTTGCTAACTTTCGTATCTATAATTTAAATATTGTCTAAATATCTTTGATACATCGTGTTTTATTTTTTTACTTTATGTCATTAATGTTTGATTGGTTATTTGATTAGGTGTTTTATAGTATTAATGTTTTATGTGTGTATTATGAAATAACCAATACTTTAGGTAGGCAAACATTAAGTCATGCTTAAAATGAAACGTACGTTACCTAATCTATGGTCGAACTGAAACAATTGCATTTTCATCTTCAATTTCAATTGTATCGATGCAGTCGCGCGTTTGTATCGATGCAGTCGCGCGTTTGTATCCATGCAGTCGCGCGTTTGTATCGATGCAGCCGCGCGTTTGTATCGATGCAGTCGCGCGTTTGCAACGCTGCTAAAAGTCTACTGCCACGCAGAGGTCCCAGGTTCTCCCGGACTGGGAGAAATATTTGTATGGTCGACATTTATTTCTCTCGTGACTTTGGGTGTAATTTGTGGTTGTCTATGTGTGTGCCCATGGCACCCGCGACACAGGGTTTCCCAAGTGCGGGGCTATGTTCACGACCTGAACTAAAAGGTTTGGTGGCACTTTTCTCTGTCGCACAGTCGACAAATGGAACTCTCTTCCTTGGGGTCTCTTTCTTGGGGTCCTTCAAACGAGACGTAAAAAAGCATCTTGTAGGCAGGGTGTAGGTGGCTAGGGCAGTGATAGTATCAACACTGCACTAGGTACCTTCACATTTGGATTCCACATTCCATTTAACATCAAGTGGAGTAGAGTCATCTGCTTAACATGTACAGTCCTTCCCTGGACGAACTCTTTCACAAGGAGCCTTAATAAAGTATAGGGTTTTATTTACTTCAACACCCGGATCTGGGACTTCTCTGGGTTAGGAAATAGATAGCATTGAAAGGACGTTGAATATAACTCCTTATCTGATCCCAAACTTATTAACAAAAACCACTAGATTTCAGTTGATTTTGTAGTTCTCTCTGTTATTTACAAGCGGTAACCACATTGAGCCAACAAACTTCAATTTATTTAAAATAACCAAATATTTGCAATTGCTTTCAGAATACCGCGTTTGTAAACTGCCCGAAATTGACATCATACTCAAATGCCGCCTTTGTCCAGCCATCTCCAAGGATGGATAAGTATTCAGGTGTTCTTGCTAAAGTATCCGATGCTTTGGGTTTTGACTTTACTAAGGTGCCCAATCTTGCGTACGCCATTTACGATTTGTTAGTTAGCGAGGTAAATAAAATTTATTAATTTGTTATATGTACTTAAATAATAATGAAACCGTATATACATGGTTATTTTTAACACACTAACCTCGCAGGACTATGATATTAAAATCGTAAACAACAACTTTTGTTCCATGAATTTTAACAATCAGTCTAGTCGATTGATGGAATTATTCTTTGCGTTTGTGTCAATAATAGTGAGAGTTACTCCCACAACGAGTCAACTCGAGCTACTTTTTGTGAACACGAGCTAGCTTGGTTCGGTTCCCGCAGACTTGAATACTTCATTCATACAGCGCGTCGGCAATTCGTTCTCACTCGGTCGGTTCTGCGACCTTCGGAGCACGCTCGAGTCGCGGTCGGCACCAAAGAGTACCTTGTTATGGTCGGCACCCCGTTCCTGTCCAACTCGGTAAATCGTCGGTTCGAGTTGTACTCGCGACTCGCTGTTGCTTTGTCATACACCGAGTCACGTCAAGTCGAGTAGCTCGAGTTGAAAAATACAACAATGCTTTCAGGATGCAACTGCTGAAGTTCTGTAGCGCATCTACGATGTTTGCAGAAGCACGGACAGACTCCTTTTCTGCCGTAAAGGAAGAAAATCTCTTCTCTTTTAAATAGAATACGTAGCAGTAGCAATAGCATCCTGAAAATGATGACTGAGACAATGGAGGGAGCTCTCATAAGCCACCTCATAGATTTTACTCGATCTTTATTTTGAAATAATGTACCTACTAAAAGAAATACTCGTATATCCCACGGCTATGCCACACTGAGGGAAAGTTCCATAAGTGCTGTGGATAGAAAATCTTACTGAAACAAGACTTCATTTCGATTTTAAAGACAATTGGAACTGCATTCAAAGATTTTTATACAATCGTCTGGCTGAACCGGTAATCGAACCCGCCATAATGTGAAAAAACTACCTGTAATTTTACTATGCTGATCGAAAGTCATCACAAGGATTGGTTTCTTCTAAATAACATAGTATCTTTACCGCTTTCGCGATGCGGTCATCCTACCGCAAAATGGCGGCTATTTGGTTTCGCAAATTAGAAAAGGATTCAGTTTAAATACAAGTTTTTATAAATAAAAATTATTATTCTGCATTGCTAAATAAATAATCTCCGTACTACCAACAAAAACATCTCAAATAAAATGCAGTAATACACCGCAAATCCTGCACTTAAAAAGCACTAATGAAATTTTTGGTATACTTGGATAAATATGATAATATTCCGTTTGAGTGGTTCTAACGTTTACCATGAAATTACTCCTTAAGGTATAGCTTATAAACATTTATATTCAAGGTAAACTTAAAAAACGCTACTTATGTTCACTTGCACTGAACTTAAGTATGTCTTAAACCAATGCTTAAATTGATAAGAGTGTCTTATCAATTTAAGCATTGGTTTAAGACATACTTAAGTTCAGTGCAAGTGAACATAAGTATGTCTTAAACCAATGCTTAAATTGATAAGACACTCTTAACACAATGTAGTAAGAGTGTCTTTTGCATTGCAATTATTGGTTTTAGGGTATGTTTTCAATAAATAAACACCGAAATCACCAGCCCAAACAATAACACACACGATTATCGTGACGTATTTTTGAAGTTGTTTTTTTTTTTAAATGACAGACCCAAGCATTAAAAACTTTATGGTTTGCTAGAGTAGTTACCGAAATAGCAATTAGTATTAGTTCTTTTACCTGTTATAACTGCAATATCCGATAAATCGGTATAAAATCATCACCGGCACCTCTAGGTGTGGTATGCGTCTACGGCTGCATGTATCGCGTGAGCGGTTAAATAAAAGGAAAACCATGGAATATAATTGAGAAAATGGCTTTTGACTTAAGACATTGTTTTTAAAGTAATAAAGAATATTTAGTAGTTACAAAGTCAAAGTCAAAAATTATTTATTCCATAGGTAAGATAAATCTACACTTGAAAACGTCACATTTAAGCTAATGCCCGTTCACTACGCTGTTACTACCTGAGAAGAACGAACAAGAAACTCTAGGGATTTTCAAATAAACTTAAATGCTATGGAGTACACTTTGAATCAAATTTGTGTGGATTCTGAAGCCGTGTCGTCTTTCCATACATCTTTATCTAACACGTAGTTTTCAAGTTTGTAATATGCTTTTTCGATCAAAATATTTTGAATGTAGGTTTTAAACGTAAGAAATGATAAACTTAATATAACTATGCTCCGGAATCTAATTGTAAAAATGTATACAGTTCCCCATAAAAGAGTTGTTTACCTTTGTTAAACGAAATCGTGGTCCCATGAGTTTGGACTTAGTTTTAAGATTAATATTATGGATATCTTCTTTCTTATTGAAATTATGTATACAAATACCAATGGATATCAATTCGAAATCCAAATTGATTTGTAATTGTAGAGACAAAAGTGAAACGCAGGTGTGCAGGATCTGTATAAATATTGTATTCTGGCAAATAAACATATTCAATCATTGACAAAAATATAACATATAATATGAAGTTTTGTTCAGAAAAGATTTAGTTTACACGAACCGTTATGAATTAGAAACTGAACTTAGGCGTATTATTTTAAACATTTACCGTGAGAAAATAAATAAATCAACAGGAAGCAAAATTATCAAAAGAGTGAGAATTTTTTATTACAAAATGGGACACATTTTGAGCATTTGATAACTTAAATTGATTGTAAGCTGCAGTTAAGTGTACCTTAATGTTAAATTTCATAGTCTTCCTTTTATTTAAGATGCTGTGTTATTTGGATAGTAAAATGACAGCGTGTTTTTTTTGCCCTTGGCAGATTCGATTCCCGGTTCAGACAGGCGATTATTTAAAAATCTTTGAATGCAGTTCGAATTGTTTCAAAAACCAAAATGTTCATTCAGTGAAATTTTCTATATTCTCTCCACGTGGCATAGCCATGTAATACATCTGTTACTAATCTAATTATGGATTTACGTCGTTCGAAAATAAATAAATTAGTTAAAATGAAATATTTCCAAAGCAATTTTACGGCACACGTTACTATTCTGACACTTCGTATCGATTTCAGCGTAACCTAGGTTTTGATATAGGCAAAGAATTGACAGAATTAATGCCTGAACTCCGATTGGCTGCAAATGAAGCCATGGACGTAATATATGGTAACGATGACTACATTGCCTTACAAGCTGGTAAGTATGTAAAACCTAAGGTATTCCTATAAGCAAGCATTAGTAGTAATCTAGTATTCAAATCTGTATTTTTCTTTTAGTAATAATCTCATATTCAAATTTGTAATATTCAAATAGACTTCTTCTTCTGGCTCGGTTTGCTAGAAGACGTCGGTTCGGATCCGGCCGCATCGAAGGAATTTTTTTTAATGTTCGATCTTTGTATTCATCCCACTGCTGGGCACGGGTCTCCTTTCAGACGAGGGCTTAGGGCATAGTCCGCCACGCTCTGGCCCACTGACTTCACACGTTTTCCGAGTGCTGTGAACCTTCTTCAACGTGCAAGTTTCATCTCGATGTTTTCCTTCACCGAAAAGCTCATGATAAATTTCAAATTCAATTAAGTTAAATTTAGCACATAAATTCCGAGAAACTCAGAGGTGCGAGCCCGGATTCGAACCCACGACCCTCAGCTTGAGAGGCAGTAGGTCAAACCATTAGGCTACCACGGCTTATTCATTCATTTTTTCATCATTCATTCATTCATCATTCATTTATTCGATCTTTGTATTAATAATTATAAAAAACTGGTGGAGTAATTTCACAAAAAGCAATTGAATATCAATTCAATACAGATTTAATTACAGTTAATAGCGACATCTCTAGTTAGGGTTGGTAGTTGTAAAGTTACCTAACTGGGTGACGAAATACTTTCATAGATATCTCATAGATGGCGCTAAGGCTGAAAAGTCGTTGAAAACCAAATACAAATATTCTACAACAAGCACAGAAAAATTCGTGAGGTCCGCTGGCTCGTTCCGTGGCTTAGTTGGCATAGCGTCTGGCATGGTTTGCTAGAAGACGTCGGTTCGAATCCGGTCGGATAGAAGTGTCCGATCTTTGTATTAATAATTATAATCTAATATTCATTAGAATTAATTAGAATTGGCTGCTACTAAACGTACGACATGCCCGAAGTCCGTATAATCAACAGCAGGCATACGAAATCGATTGCATGCAGTCGGTTTTTGTTACGTCCCGCTCTTCACTTCTACAATTGATTTCACATTACAATTATTTAAAATTGGGTTATTATAGTTAAAATATTTTTGTATTAGTAATAAAGACGTGTTAATTGTAAAAAACAAAAACTACGTCTATATGCCAAGTTTTAATGAAGTCGGTAAACGAAGAGTGAGTGAAAACCAATAAACGGTCTTCATCCCCTAATTTGCCATCTTAGAGGCCCACCCTTAAATCTGAATGTCATAACTACTAAAGTACACACACACACACACACGGACATATCGGAGTAATTGCGTAAAATATACACAAAAAATGCAGTGACATTGTGAACCGCCTTGTTTTTTAAAGTCGGTTTAAAAGACGACGCATTATCAGTGTAGGAAACAAAGACAAATAACGTAGCACACAAAAGACGCAATATTTTCGAGATTATGACTGAAGAACCATTCGCATACTCTTGGACTTTTGCATGTGTAATGAGATAGATAAGAATAATTTATGCCATTGGAATAATTAACTCAAACCATAACGTTTGTTTTTGTAAAAAATATAAATTAAGGTGGGGTAAGAGGAACTTACTTTATTCCGAGGCAACTCTTATGAGCTCTAGGAGGAATAAATAATGTCTTGTACGAATTTCGAAATACTCTAATCTTGCCCTGGTATAACAGCTTTCCATGATTTAACAATCATTACGCTAAAATTAATACTTACGATGTATCTGACAAAAACATTCAGGTGGGCTAACGTTTCTCTTCCCCCAAAAAATGGGGTAAGAGGAGCTGTCGTCGTATTTCACATAAATATAATATATATTTAGTAGTTAAGTCCTAAGTAAAAGTATTATAATCGAATTTGATCTTAAAACCATTTAAATAACGAATAGCTATAGAAAAAAAGTGAAAAATTAATTTTGGGCCAAAAGGAACATACCCTGCAGGTCAGGGGTGACAAATTAAAGAAAAGTGAACCTGTTATAATTTTTTTAGTACAAAGCATAATAAAGGCACATTTTAACCAACACATTTTAAATAACACACAAATCAACACATTAAGTAACTTAAGTACTTTTTAAACATCGTCATAATCGAAAAACAATGTGTGGTCTAAAAATAAATTTATACTTCTAACAAAACATATTCTTCTTTAGTCTCCATAACCACTCTACTTTGAAAACCGTTTCACTAAATCAATTGAAATTTGGTACAAAAGTAGTGTGGCCACGTAGCTAATGTGCAATGAGCCATTTTTGTGTTTGTTCTTAGATTACGTCGTTATTTTAGAGCTTATGCAATTTTTTTTTGCGACTACGACTTTTCGACTAAAATATTAAATTTTCTAAAAATTCCTGATGGAAATGTGCTACCAGAATTTTACAGCTGGCTTTAAAAACTACCTTAAGGTGTGCATTTGTTTACACATAAAATTCTAGTGTTGTAATTATTGTAACATTCGCCAGAAATTAACGTCATGTAGACAAAGTCACTAAAATTTTACCAAAATTTACGATTGCAATAAAAAATTTTATTGGGAAAAAATTAACTTAATTTCTCAAAATTATATATGGATAGGTATAAAATAATATATATGGATATAAAGTTGTGTTTGTTCGAATATGACAATATTCCATTATGCCAATTCATGAAAAAGTATGTCACCCCTGGCACGGGGGAAGAGGAACATATGTTTCTCTTAGCCCGTAAGTACTAGACCCTCTTACCCTAACAATGTTTTTGGCAGTTAGAATTTTGATTCCAATGAAACTCGTATAATTTGTTGTTTTTGGTCTGAAATAAGTAATAAAAAGTAAAACTTACCGTTTTCTCTACGTGTTTTTCTATAAAAATAATCTCCAGTTTTTTTTTTCACCAAGAACCAGCAGAGAAAAAATTACGCGCCCATCTCTTGTTTTCAGACTGCAGAACTGTCAATTTTCTATACTCTCTCTCTCTCGAATTTGGAACATCGTAGCGACATCTCTTTACAACCGTTAAAACTAATTTGTTTGTCTGTTTTATCGACTGAGAGACTATACTGCTAAACGATTTACTTTAGGTATTATGGGTTTTAGTCCCTCTTCCCTCAGTGTTCCTCTTACCCCACGTGACCTTATAAAGCTGATTACACAATGTTACACGACGGCGGCATTTTTTGCTGCTGCGGCGCTGAAAGAGCTACTGCAACGTACCGCAGCACCAGTGGTGCAAATGGAGCCAATATGGCGTCGTCTACTAAAATCGTACATTATCAAACAGAGTTTTTTTTTAACGCACACACTTAACATAGTCCCGCAGTAGGTAAACCCTGAGTCGCGGGTGCCATGGACACACACATAGATAAACACAAATTACACTCAAACTCACGAGAGAAATAAATGTAGGCCATACAAATATTTCTCCCGGCCCGGGAATCGAACCTGGGACCTCTGCGTGGCAGTCCGGCATGGTAACCGTTTGGCTACGGAGGCAATTAATTGCGGCAAGACTCGCCGCCGCCGCCGTATCAAGTAACGCTACCGCCGGGATACGTGTATCAAAGTGTGTATACAAATGCAAGGGCGACTAAAACTGGTGCAGTGCCGTGTGTAATTAAACTGAGACGTGTTTTAACTGACTTAAAAAAAAGTTCTCAACTATTTTTTTTCATGTATATTACGCGATAACCGATTTTGATTAATCTCTTTTGTTGGATGATGGGTACCTCGGTAGTGACGGGACAAACAAGTCGTGCGCCTGATGGTAAGCTACACGCCTGTCCATAACAGTTGCAGTGCCACTCAGAGCTTCAAGGCGCAAAGATCTGAGATGCACTGCTAATGAGCCCGTCACCCTGAGACATAAGTTGACAAGTCCCATGTGCCTGTGATTTCACCAGCAACCTTACCCTTCAAAACCGGAACACAGTAATGTTAACATTGCTGCTTTGCGGCAGAAATAGGTAAGATAGCAGTACTCCTCTGGACGAACACTTTTATTATCGTAGTCGGGTTTGTGAAAAACTATTCACACACCCTTTATATCTATGAATTCTTCTATAAGCTGTCAGAATATGTTAATTGTACGTACGTTGTAATTTTAATATTGGCGGTATACATCTTTGTGACAGAGTTCGTCCAGGGAAGCAACTGCTACCTTACCCATTTCTGCCACCTAGCAATAATGTGACTGTACGGTTTACAACCGCACATTTTTCTTCCGCTTACCTTGCGCTCTACTTTGTGCCCTACTGTCCGTGGCCTACTGTCCGTGGCTTACATACATTACATGGGCACATAAGTAGGCAAGTAATTTTAGTGTTAAACGAGCATTCATTTCATCTAGACATCCTGAGTGTTTAACGAACATTCATATGTCTTAACGTAACAACAACGTAAGAGATACACATCCTCAACGAGCCTTGTATTTTCTTACTTTATTAATAAACTTTATACTTTTATCATCTATCAATTTAAACAATTAGGCGTCAATACTATAGCGTAGTATTGGCCCCTACATCGTTTTTTACTGCCTGACAATGTGCTTGACAACCACACCAACACCCAGACCAGAGTCAATTTAGAAAAGTTAATTTCCCATGTTGGGCCTACCGGGAATCGAACCCGAGACTTATTTATCCATCGTTCACGGTGCAAACCGTTGGACCAAAGACTGCGTTCCGATTTAAAGCTCGAGTGGCACTGCAACTGCTATGAACAGGTGTATCGTTTAAGCGTGTGTTGTCGTCCTTATAAATACACGGAATTAGACCCGCCGCCGTCCCGACTCGACCCGCGCCCGACCCGCACGTGCTCTCTGTGTGTTTCATGCTTTAAAACCAGACGCATGACTTCGCCCCGATACCGGGTATCATAAAAATATGCTCAAAAGTAAATTTCAAATGGTAGTAACGCAAGCTAAGTTTCTTTATTTATTTATTTTTCAGGTGTGCTTTTAAACGAATTCTTCAAATACGCTAAACAAATTACCAACGGTACAAACGCCCAGCGAGTTCGTGTGTACTCCGCTCACGATATCAACGTCTATTCTTTAGAATCTGTGTCCCAAGTGAAGCATAGACAGGGAGTCCCGGAGTTCGGCTCCGTATTCTCTTTGGAGCTGAGAAGGATGGTTAAGACTGGTGAATATGTTGTTGTGGTAATTATTGGCAATCTTTATTTGGTTTTTGCGCGAAATGATCAACTACTTCAATCTATGTATAGACAGGAACATTCACAGCAACTACATGTTCCAAACAAAACAATCAAGAGTAACAGTGTTTGTTTTGGTGTCGAATTTTATCAAAGAGTATTAGGGGTCTTACCAAGTCTGGAGGGAGAGTCCCCACATAACCCCTGAGTCTCCCTGGGCTCAGGGGTATCCAAAAAGATTTCCCCCCGTCAAAAAAAAAAAAAAAGGGGTCTTACCATGAACTCTTATTACGATTCAATTTAGGACCTACAACGAATCGTTGTGAGACAGCGCTACATGAAATGTATATCACTATCCCGCTTTTTTGTCATTACGAACCTATATTGAACTGTAATCAGAGTTCATGGTAAGGCCCGAGTACCGTAGTATGGGAATGAGCTAGGCAGGCAGATAATGAGTATCTACCAATGATATTTATCCATAGTTGGGGAATAAACGTAAAGCCCTTGACAAAGACTCTATTAGTTGCACAATACATTTCATGTTGCTTTGAGCCAGGGCCTTCTACTTACTATTTATAAATAGATATTTATAAATAGTTCGTTTCAAAAAGTTCAGATGATCAAACGAACTTTTTGAAGTGAAGTTCGATCACTATTATGTGAGTCATTCATTCGAAGATATAATATTTAACCACGTAGTTTCCTTAACTTGCTAGGCAACACCGCACGGTTTTTAGAGAAAAAAAAATGTTTTGACGTTGACACTCCTTACCAGGCATCAACCGCCATTTTCTATTCTCATTCCTTTTAGAGTGGGAAGCAAAACTTACTTGGGAGTTTCAGAATCTTTACTGATATGACGATGTCGAGGGAGAGAGGGTGTTGATTATATCTTCGAATGAAGCGACTCACATAATAGTGATCGAACTTCACTTCAAGAAGTTCGTTTGATCATCTATTATATTTCGTCGCTTCATTCTCGATATAATATTTAACCAGGTAGAGTTTTAGAGTATTCAGTTTTGCTTCCAGTTGATTTTATGTAAATTAAAAACCAGAGAGTTAATCGATCATAACAATTTTTAAATCGTACAATCATATGATAATTTTATAAATAAAGATTATTATTATTATCATTAATTTAGAATAGTATAATTTGCCGTTTTATTATGTTGTAAGCAAATGGTTCTTGCGAACGTGTGTTCGTCTTCAGTAACTATTCTACTAAAAAATCTAGTAAAGGACGTGAGATGTCGGAGTCCAACTCGCAGCCTTGCGTATGAGCTCTATCGGCACCTTAACCGCGTGCTATGCGCGCCGAAAACTGCTGTGTCCACACCCGCCGCGCCGCATCCAACATCTGCCTTGCACATGGGCTCACGGTCTGACTCGTGGCTACTCTGTGGGGAGCTCTGTGTATCAGTAAGAGCGTTCCCTGACGTCCAGTTGTCTTATTTTGACTGCGACAAGGCAAATACTTGGATCCTGTCTAAAATATGAAAAATTTAATGATTTAATGTGGCCTGTACGCGACCAGGCGCAGACGTTTTGATTAAATCAGATAAAAGAGATAAAGCAGACTGTTGTTATTGCAAAATTCCCACCAGAGCTTTAGGGACACATTATATTGTCTAATTGTATTTTAAGAAAGAGAAACTAAGGGTAAAGTCGTCGCCGTCTTGTGGGACTGTGCGGGAGGCGAAGGACGCGCTGATAACGACAGAAAGGCGTTGAGGCCGTCTGCAATAAGATTTAATAATGATTCGCTTGAGTTAAAATATATCACGTCGGAAACCGACAGGCTTTGCAGCAGGAGGAACCGTGCCTGGGAAGGCCAGTATGGAAAACCAAGAGGACCATTTGCTTGGTCATCAATAATTTTGCGTATGCATTTCAATAATAAAAAAATAAATAATGGAAAGGTGGGAATGCGTAGAAAAAAATTAGAATTCCAATTGAGTGTAAAGTCATCTACGGCAAACGCATCTGGTTCCTGAAACCGAGAGACAAAAATAGCGGATTTGGCATTGGTGCGGGATGCAAAAAGATCAATCTCGGGTTCGGACAACATCTGACAATGGTCTGGAAGGCTCGAGATTATTTTATTATAAATCATGTAAAATGCACATATATCTGTTCGGATTTTCAACCACCCATGTTCGATTTGGTTATCGGGGATAACTCGTAGTTAACCCGATGTTTTATTTAATGTAGGTTAGATTCACATTTGCGATGTAAGAAAGCGAACATTTATTATAATTGCGGAAGTAGCAAGTAATGCTATACGATAAAAATGAATATTTTCATTTTTTATTTTCATTATTTATGAGCGTAAGAAAAAAATCTTACCTTGATCAATGTTCGACTCGTCCGATGACATTATGATCCTATAACGCTGACGGCGTTTGGCATCTGTATTTTCCAAATGTTTCAATTTACTTTTATAATATTCGATTTTTATGTTTGTTCGCTTTGACATTTTAATGGAGCTGTGGAGGTGTGCTTGTTGCCACGCACGAAAAAGAAATGAGGGTAGAAAATGGCGGTTGAAGCTTGGTAGGGAGTGTCAATGTCAAAACTGTATTTTTTTTTAAACCGTGCGGTGTTTCCTAGCAAGTTAAGGAAACTACCTGGTTAAATATTGTATTGAGATTGAACCGACGAAATATAATTAAAAATATATTACCGATCTATGTCGATTACAAATTTTAAAAATTTTGTCTTATCACGTGTCGATTATAAAAAAATTTAGCAACTCTGTAGGTACCTTTTTTTTAGTTATATTGTGAACATATTGCAATTCAACTTTCACAAAAAGAAAATTATAAGAATTCTATAACACCATATATAAACACAGCGCCTTTATTTATTTCCATTTCTTAAGAGCGATGCCTCATGAGCGCTGCCGATACGTTGCGTCGTCGCCATGCTGATTTCAACGTATCGAGTGCCATGCCAGCAATGCGCTGTCGCAATGTAACACCGTTTGGCCCCTTGTCCGATACGCACGCAATCCCTTGTAACGCGCCGTTTTAACGCACCTTGTGGCATGTCGTTCCGATTTAAATGTAATACAACGCAGCGTCACAACGTGTGGCATCGCTCTGAAACAACAATTGTAGCGCTAGTCACGATCCTATGAACGTTATTTGTGTGAGAATCATTTATTATTTTCCAACGCTAACGATTTAAATTCCCCAAACTTTTGTCGGAATTTAAATTATCATTTATACTAAATTTTATTTTACAGCCCGTGTACCTTCCATCGCCGTACGAGACAGAAATCTATCTTCCCGTAAAAAACTGCGGTCTTCCCTGTGGTCTAGACAAATTCCTTGAGATCACCTCAAAATATCTTCTCGACGTTGATACTTGGCGTACAAAATGTGGATTCACTGACGACATAGTCATTGATTCTGGGAGCATAGATTAATTGTTGAACTTGGCTTTCGCACTGCTTTGAATTAAATTACATTTTCTATTATTGTTTTTATTTTGTTAAAGATTGAACAGAAATAGAGTCTATTTTCATATTTTAAAAATCTTTTCTTGATATTTATTTTTTTAAATATATATATATTAGGGGTTAAAGTATGAAATTGCCGTTTT